ACAGACAACAGGAAAAAAAGAAGCAAAAAGCATTGTTAGTCATAAACTTTTCGGGGCCAGCCCAGTGACACAGCTGTTAAATGCGCATGTTCCGCTTTGGCAGCCTGGGGTTTGCCAGTTCGGATCCCAGGTGAGGACATGGCACCACCTGGCAAGCCATGCTGTGGTAGGTGTCCCACATATAAAGGAGAGGGAGAGGGGCACGGATGTTAGCTCAGGGAGTCTTCCTCAGCAAAAAAAAAAAAAAAAAAAGAGGCGGATTGGCAGTTGGTCTTAGCTCAGGGCTAATCTTCCTCAAAAAAAAATTTTTTTTCACAGACTACAGATTTTTAAGTTAGCTCTCTCATCTCTTTTTTTTTTTTCTTTTTTGAGGTAGATTAGTCCTGAGCTAACATCTGCCACCAATCCTCCTCTTTTTGCTGAGGAAGGCTGGCCCTGAGCTAACATCCATGCCCATCTTCCTCTGCTTTATATGTGGGACACCTACCACAGCATGGCTTGCCAAACGGTGCCATGTCCGCACCCGGGATCCGAACAAGCGAACCCTGGGCAGACGAAGCAGAACATGCGAACTTAACAGCTGCTGCCACTGGGCGGGCCCCAGCTCTCTCATCTCTTAAAGGGCAAGTCTTTGTCTTGACCTAGGTATTTTACATTTTAACTCCTTCAAAATTATTAAGTTATTGTTTATTTTGCACACAGATCCAGGGTGAGAAGGAGGATTCATAGTAAATTAGATAGGCACATCCAAACTTGCCGAACAAGTAATACTGCCCAGTTTCCATAAGCCATTCAGAGTTTAAAAAACATTGGAGCAAAAGCACAAATTCAAATTACAGCCCAGATTTGCAAGCAACTCTGAAAAAATCTTTCTACAGAAACTTGTTTTGGGGTCTTGTAAGGGGAACAATTCTTAAAACCTAGCATAGTATTAACAATATAGTCATAGTGTGGGCAAACACATTTTTAAATAATGCCTCAGCATACCAGGGCCTGTATAATAACGCTAAACGTTAGAAAAAGGGATAGTACTATTGCGACATACCTTCTGTAAGAAATATGAAAAAAATATGCTTGTTTTTCAATTAAACAGCAAAGTGAAAAATTTCAACAAATTATCTATTAATGTTTACAGACACCCAATAAGTAACTTACAAAGCATTAAGTAATAAAGCTTTTCTAAAGACGTCCATCTTACATTTTAAAACATCTTCAAGGAGAGAAAATAAAACAATCAGAAGCAAGGAATGAGCAGAACTAAGCTATTAGTGGCAACATTTACAAGCTAATTTACAAAGCGGAACAATTAAAAGGAAAGGGAGATATGACAACAGAACAGATACTAAACTTTTCTGAAACACTAGGCATCCTTGTGCTCTTGTTATTTAATTAGGAACTAAAATGGCCACATTACACAATACAACGTGATTTAACAATGATGTCATTTACAGAAAGCCACTGGAATGAATAAATAGAAGCCATTCAAATGTTCTGAAGACCATCTTCTCAGTCTTTTCAAATCAATCAAGGGATCAATGTTTTAAAGGAGACCTTTTCTACTTAAATTAAATCATTTAGAAAGCACTAACATCATCCTGAGAAACAAGTATAATATTAGATAAAGAAGGCAAATGATGCAGAAACTTTTGACATTATATTTAATAAAGCATGTTATTTTAAAATAGAAAATTCTCTTGTACGACCTTTTGCACTAGAATAATTTTGAATACATTTAAGTCATCTAAACCTACTTATCATTAATGTTCAAATGCACTGGTCTAAAAGACAACTTTTCAACAAATTAGTTCTCAGCAATCTGACCCCGAGTTTAGTGACACTGCTGGCAAACCAACTCTGGTATCACATTCAACTTAACTTCTAAGAGAAGACATTTTCCTGACCCCGATAAAACCAAGCAGATGTGAAATTTTTATTTTTAGTGCCTGAAATTTGCCTCTCGAGTGAATTATAGCCATCAAGGAAATATGTTCTATTCTCCTGCCAAAGCCCAGCCCTACACTCTTTATTAGGCAGAACTCCCACGAAGTCATCCAAACTCAGTCTTTCAGAGCCAGCCCCTCCTCAACCTAGGGCAAGAGTTTTCAAGACTTAGCAGTGGCTGAGGAAAAAACTGAAGCTTTAAGCCGAAAAAAAAAGATCCATGAGAGTGTGACTACAAAATGAGAGGAAAGGGTGCTGATAAAGGGAAAGGGGTATTAATAAAAGAAAAAGAAAAAGCTGCAGATAACTTTAAATAAAAAAACCTAAGAGTCCACTGATCAATTCACTGTCTGGAAACTAAATTCAGTTTACTGGGTGGTCCCTTCCTCATACCACCCACAGGGGCAGAGCCATGAAAAACACAGGAATACAGAGATGGCTGGTTTATTTTGGTTCTAAGTTTGTGCCTCTGCCTGTGTATTCAACAAACAGGAGTAAACAAGAGTGAAAGTCAACAGCAGAGCTTAGAAGATTTTTAAAAAAAGATTTTTAAAAATAATAAATGTAACAGACTAAGTGAACACCATGGAGGCTGCAGTCTTCACAATCATGTCTCCCTTTGTGGAGTGCTACCTACCTATCTATGTATCTACATCGTACAACGTGATTTCACGTCCAATGCTCTTTCTACTAGATCATACTAAGAGGTTAAGTTTTCCCAGTAAAATAACTATACATAACCAGAAAAAGGGGTAAAATGAGACACTGTAGCAGCCAGGCAACAGCTGAACAGCACTAAGCTTCCAGGAAATGATTTTATCATCTTTCATTAAGCATAAAGTCAGAGCAACTGAAGGGGAAAAAAGCGTTGCATAAGTACGACTAATCAGAAAGAAGGAAACTTGTACCTTCAGAAACCACTATTAATGAAGCAAACAATCTCAACTCTCACAAAATGGCTTTTCAATGCCTCATTTCCATTAGTGAATGTCAAGCTACCTTACAGAAAGGCATGCATTTTCTTGAGCTCAGAGCTCAGAACATAACAGCTAGGTAGCCTATCCTATGACACAAGAAATGGCAGACCTCCCCAGAGCATGATTTAGCAATGAGAGCGCCTCATAATTGTTCTCTACAACCTAACTTATAAACCTTCTAGAAAGTGCAAGGATCCAAATTATTATTAACTGGAACAATCCCACAACTTTCCTTTCCTTTAAAGAAGAGCAAAACTGCTGGATACAACCACCTAAAAGCAGAGGGAAAACAAACTTGCTAGTGTAGATTACTTCGCAAGTGTCTAAATTTCCAGGCTGCTGAGTTCAGTTTTTATTCAACTTTTCTCACTTCTACTCCCATAATTTTTAGCCTATAAAACACTTGCCAGCTCTAGAGCATTAAATTTCAAAGAGCAAAGATATCTTTTTAAAACATTTTTAATGATCTAAAGGATTTCTCACGTGCAGAGTTAAAATGAACAAGCAATGCCCTAGAGGAGGAGAACTAACCTAACCGTAAGCCCAGCTCTGGCTGTAGTCTCATCACTTAGGTGCTTCTCAGTATCTCACCGTCCTCATTTAGAAAATACGGCAGTCGCACTGCAGGATTTCTTAGATCCCCTCGAGCTCTAATTTTCTATTTCAAGATCTCCAATTCACTAAGAAAATTACTGTCTTGTAAAGGCTCAAAAGGTAGTCATTTTAAACAAAAGAATGTAAGAAAAGGAACTTGAGTAGACCCCCCCCCAATTTTCCAAAACTGCAGGAGGCGGGAAATAAGGTTGCTTATTTGTTATCCTCACTTAAATAAGAACCAGTCTAAATGGAAGGAGACCTCTTCCATTATAATTTCCATTATAAGAAAGTAAACAATTCATGAACCCACATATATTCTAATAGAAGCTCAGCAGCATTAAACTACTTCCCATTTTAATTTTTATATATCATGCCAGAATATAAAAATGTGTATGTATCCTTTTATTGTGCTGTATTCAAGATTAGCTCCATCACGATGGAATTGAAAACGACAAATTCTAAATAGACTCTTACCTTTTTAAATGGATACATTTTAAATTTCAAATAACCAACAGTGAGACAGTTCAAAATGAATGATTAAATATTGTGGTCAACTGATTCAACATACATTTCAATATATACCTCTTCCCTGACCACTCTTCTTCCCGTCAATGCTCTCCTTATTCCTAACTCCTCTCAACTCCACCTCCCCACTCCACTCCAGGCCCCACTCTCTTTCTCTCCCCTCCCTTCTCAACCATACACTAACTTTTAAAGCAGTCTAGGAAGTGGTCCTCTTATCTAGGAAGTATCAGAATCACCTAGGAAGCGTATTAAAAATATATATTAGTGTAAGGAGAGATGAACGGATTCTACTTATAAGGTAAGTATGAGTTAAAAAAATTAAACCTTGATTAACTAGCTTGCTCAGAGAGTAGGATATTCTGGTTAACTAAAGATTAACCAGGCAACGTATTTTGTTGAAAAACCTTCTGGAATCCATTATATCACTCTTCCCTCACGTAGGAGTTGGAGTTCACGAGAAATACTCAAGGACTTAAAAACTGTCCTACAAAGAGGTCAAGTTTATAATCAATTTCTACCCCACGCAGGGGCCTGTAGGCCAAATAAAACCCTCAAGCTAAGATGGGTTTACATTTTTAAATGGTTGCATAAAACAAAGATTATGTGACTGAGATTATATGTGGCCCACAAGGCCTAAAATATCTACTATCCGGCCCTTTACAGAAAAAGCTTGCCGACCCTTATTCTGTAACACCAAAGGCACTGGAAGTACGGAGACCCCAGGGACATCACTCTGATGTACTCCTTTCTCATCACATTAACTGAAAAAAAACGTTTCCGTTAAACAGTTCCAAATGACTTAAATAGAATCACTACTATTTCTCTAACTGACTTGCCTAAATGACTAGCCCTCAAGAAAACGTCATCCCCAAAAGACTCTATTCCCTTCTTTAGACTCAACAGTTTCAGCTGAGATGCTAGTTAGCTCTGGAAATAAATGCAAAAGATTGGAAGCCTTACCTGGGGCATTTGCTATAGTCAACGGCAGGCTTGGAAGCTGGTGCACCTGGATTCCTGAAGCACCCAACGCACTGAGGTTAATGGTCTGGAGACCAGGCATGGAGGAGAGCTGAGCAGCATTCACAGTGACTGTGCCAGCAGGGATGGAGGCAGCTGAGGCAATGGGTGTAAGGGTGGTACTGCTGCTGCTGGTCTGCCCCAAGGAAACACCCTGCATTGGGGCTAAGGTGATTGTCTGGGCCTGTGGGTTCTGAACTTGGAGGTTCTGCAGCTGAAGAGTCTGCCAACTAACCTGTCCATTGGGCCCCACTGTTGGTGTCCGGATGATGATTGGGCCAGAGTTTGGAACAGCCTGAAGCTGGAGGTTCTGGAGGGTTTCCTGGGAGATAGCTTGAGTTGTAAAGGTCTGCCCTGACAATGGTGCTGCTTGGAGGGCCTGGAGGGCCTGTCCCCCTTGAACTAGCTGAGGCTGGATAAGAATTTGCTGTTGTTGCTGTGTCTGCTGGCTTTGCTCTCCCTCTTTTTGCTGACTTGCTTGCAGTGAGCCTCCAGATGTCTGGTTCTGCTGAATGTTCAGAGCATCAGACCCCTGTAGCCCACTGACTCTCTGGGGTGTCTGGCCTTGAGAGTTGGTCCCTGCTGATCCGCTGGTGGTAAAGTTCATAATTCCCATGTTGCTGGTGGTAGTAGTTGTTGAATAACTATTGGCATTGGTGAAAAAGGAACTGGAACTGGCTTGTGATGATACCAAACTGGCAGAACTGATGGCAGTCCCTGAGGTGACAGGCTGTGAGCCGCTCTCCTGGGACCCAGAGCCGCTGATCGTGACTGCCTGAGAGCTAGGAGTCAAGGTAGCTGCAGAAACGCTGTTGACAGGTAGCAAAGTGATATTCCCATTCAGGGCCACTGGTACATTGGTCACATACTGAGTCTGTCCTGAGAGTACATTATTAGCCAGGCCTTGGAGGGGGACAGCCTGCTGGAGCAGGTTTGGCATAGCAGCAATGATGTTGCCTCCACTTCCTCGATTTGTGATGATCTGTTGGTTTGCACCTGGTATGATCTGTATTTGACCAGAACCATCCTGCTGTACTTGGGCCCCAGTGGCAGCGAACTGCAGCTGTTGCCCATCTACGGTCTGGAACTGTGGGATTACTTGATACTGAATATTAGGCATCACTCCAGGTAGTCCTGTCAGGACTTGCTGGTTCTGTAAGTTGGAAGTGGCAGCCACAACATACTGCCCACCAGAGACCGTGCGATTCTTGGAAGACTCGCTGCCATTGCTGCCATTGGTACTACTGCCACCCTGTTCCTTTGAGGTAGGGGTAGCCCCGGAGGAGGAAGAGATGATCTGCCAGCCATTGGCACCTTGTGAAAGTTGTGTGGCTGTGAGGTCAAGCTCACCTGTGCCCCCTGACTGGTTTGGGCCCTGGGAGTTGTTGCTGTTTTCATTGGGTGACTCAATTCTGCTGCAAGTTGCTGCCAGCAGAGCCAAAGGGGATGGCTGGGATTCCTGGCCAGAAAACACGGGAGAGAAAAGCAGTTAGTTTAGTGACACCCGGCTGCCAGCCCAGGGGGCGGTATACAACAAATAAGCAGCAAAGCAGTGCAAACAAATAAAGAGCAAAAAAACACACACAAAAGCTCATCTATCTATACGGCTGAAATTCTCATCTTTGGGGATCTCCAAGCCACTTGTCTTTCTGTGCTTACTTCCCTACGTATAAAACGGTTTAGCCCCTTCCTAAAAATTTTTCTGTGAAAAGGAAGACAATCACCTAAGAATATATCCATCCTCTCAACACCTTCCCCACTTTATCCTGACCATCACTTACCTGCCCTCCTCCTCCTCCACTGCTGCTGCTACTGCCTGTGCTGCTGCTTCGAGCCTGAGAAAAGGCACCACCACCATTACCATTGCCCCCATTACTGCCACCAACGCCTTTTTCAATCTTCACCACGGCTGTCATTTCATCCATGGAGTGATCTTGGTCTAAAAAGAATTAAAAGACAAACAACTTACAATTGGGGGAAGGAAAAGGGTAAAGTGAGGAAGGGTAAAGGAGGCTATGATGAAAGAGAAATAACCAAGAACGTGAAGGCACCAGGGCAAAAAAAAAAAAAAAAAAAAAAAGATGGACTGGGGGAGAAAGGATAGTTATAAGACATGTAGGACGTGAACTAGGCTGGATGGTACCAAAACTGGGCCTCAATTCTCCCCTGCCCAAAATTAACCTCAGAAAACATGGAAAAAGTACTTTTGGTATAGGAAATGTGAGGGGCGGTGGGCATGCTGAAAGGGCTGCAAGATAAGAAAAAGTATCCTGGGGAAAAAGAGAAGGATAGGTAAGGCAAAAAACAACATGTGAGCGGATGGAACGCCTGCTAAAATTAGGGTCCAAGGAGATGGAGAAAGGGAAAACTTCAAGTGTAGAAAGGAACAAGAGAGGAGGGGAAAGGGGGAAAGAGGAGATGGGAAGGGTGAGTGGGGAAACATCTGTGAACACTGTGAGGGGCTAAGGCAGTCCAGGTCAGGAGGTTTCGGGGCGGATAGAGAAGGGCGGGCCCTAGAGGGAAAGGGCGGTTTCGGGGTGAGGGGCGTGGAAAGGGCGGGCCGGGGGGGGGAGGGGAGGGGAGACCTACTGGGGGGGGGGAGGGCCTTGGGGCAGGCGGCGACTAGAGGGCGGACCAGGGAGGCGGTTGGCCCGGGCGGGGCCTGCCCTGTTCGGGCCACCCCCGCGGCTCCAGCCCCCGGCGGGAGGAGCCTCAGGCGGGCGGCCGAGTAGTGGGGGGTAAGGCCCGTCCCCCGTGGCCGGGGCGGGCAGGGGGCGGGCGAGGCCACGCTGCCCCCTCCCCCGGGGCGGGCGGCCCATCCCCCTCCTCCTCGGAGGCCCCGCCACTGCCCCTTCTCCCTCCCTTCCCTCCGCCCCGGGCGGGACCAAGGCCGCCGCCGCCGCCTCCCGCCCGCCCCCCCTCACGGCGGGGACCGCCCGGTCGGCCCTCGCGCGCGCCCCCTCACTCCCCTCCCACCCCTAAGCTTGGAGTGGACTCATCCTTACCGCTCATGGTGGCAGCTGAGGGACGAGCTCAAGGGGGTCCTGTCCGGGGGGGTTGGGGGGGGCCGGGAAAAACGCGGACGCTGACGAGGCAAGCGAACCCGGACCGGACAGGGAGGGGGGGGGTAAGGAGGAGGGAGCAGCGCGCCACAAGCCCAGCCTATGCTCCGCCCCTCCGCTGCTGCCCCGCCCAATGAGGGAGGGAGAAAGGAGGGACTTGCAGAAGAAAGGCGGGCAGATTATCCAATGGCAAGACTCGCTTGCTCTCTAAGGCGTGTAAGACAAAGTTGCGTGCCTGGTGTCCGCCCAAAAAGACCGCCCTCTCACTTTTAAAAGCCAATGAAAGGCGAAGGAAGTGGAGATGGGCGGGAGCTACAGATGATAGGCTTGGGAAGAAACCAGTCAACAGCCAGGCGGGCTACCTAAGAGGTAGGGATAGGAAGAGCTTTGATTGGAGTGACAGAAGAACGACCAATGAGAACCCTGGACATGCCTGGGCAAAGTCCTAGTGGGAGGAGAGGTAAGAAGTAGGCAGGAATGGGATAGGATGAACCTGATCAAAACCAATCAGAAATCAGGCGGGCAGCCAGGGAAGTTATGATTGGATTAACGCTGAAAAGAGACAAGATAGGACGCAAATTGACGTGAAGCAAAAGCCAATTAAACGTGAACTGAAGTCTGGGGGCGGGACCTTGGAGTGGGCAGAGGAGAATTGGCGTCTCCTTCAGTCACTCAGCCCAATGAGGCGGCGAAGGAAGCCAGGCACCGCCTCAAACCTGGCCAATGGGCGTTACTAGAGCAGCCGGTCACGGGGGAGGGAACAGGGCTGTGCCAGGAGGAGTCCGTCGCCATATTGGCCGTCCTCAGAGGACGTCTTTACAGGGATTAGGAGATGCGCATTCGCGGATCCCTGCAGCTCCACAGGTGTCAGGGCCGCGACACTCGCTCGCGCTTCTGCCTTGCCACCCAGGCTCGTTGGTGTCTTCGTTTAACCGCCCTTAAAAGTACCTCTCGGGCCTCGCCGCTCCCGGGTGGGCGGACGGGCGGGCGGATCCTCTGAGTGTGGGTGTCAGCCCCGTGGGTGCAGGCGCCGCGAGATCTGGCGACTGCGCGCACCCAGTCGGTGAATGCCGAGCTGACCAATTTGCAAGGTCTTTGGGAGATTCCAGCAAACGCCATTTTATTAAGTTCCCCCAGACGGTGGTGCTGACCACTTCCCTTACGGCGGGCGAACTTTTCAAGAGCTTGTCTGTGAGGCTAAAGTGCATTGGAGAACCTCCCGGACTCAAGGGCCATCAGTCACATACTTCCCCCTCCCCCTTAATTGTAAACGTGGTCTAAGCAGAACACCTGATCGCGAGATAGAATTCCTGCTTTCTGCAGCTGCAAAGGTTGAAGGAGATTTTCCCCGAGGCACCTGAATTTCTGGCCTCCCATTCTGCCTCTCCTTTATGCTAGTTGTGGTGGAGGCAGCCTGGGCGGCTTGGCAATGACATAAGGAGGTCATTCTCTTTAGTACTCCTATCTTCTATGTTGTCACTTCTACCTACAATTTCAGCACTCTCCTGATAGGTTGTGATGTTTTAAGTCTGGATTCGCGTGAAACAGGCCTCTGCTGCTTTGGGCCGGGCCTGAAGAAGGTGAAGTGACTGTTGAATGCCTACTGTGTCGGGTGCCTAGGTCATTTAGGCGTTTTGCATTCCTTATGTCATCCTCACGAGGAAGACAGTAAATATGAGAGATATGTGTTTTATAAATGAAGAAATTTAGGCTGGGAAGTTACTTGCCCAAGGTCACAAAGCTAATGAGTTGCAGTGCCAGATTCCAACCCAGAACAGTCCTACAAAAAGTTCGCAGAAAGTCCCACAAAAAGCCTTCTATAAATTGTTAAGTAAATAAAGCAATGCCTTGTATAACCATTTATAAAAACGGACATAATTTAAAAATGTTTTTTATTGTTTATAAAGAATTCTTTTTATTGTCACCTTCTAGCTCCTGAAAAAAAAATCCTGCCCATACTTCCAGGACAGCTCAAATGGCATCATCCTCTTGTATACCTTTATTATAAAACATCACATTACATTATAATTAATAGCTCTCCCTAGATCAAAGTTCCTGAAAATATAATGTCAGACAGTTTCTATCAGAATCCTCTGGACTGCTTTTTTAAAAAGGTAGATTCCTAAACCCCATCTCAGACCTAATAAATCAGATTTTCTGGAGTGGGGTTTGAAAATATGCATTTTTTTAAGTAGCTCTTTCAAGTGATTGCCTAAACTGGAGTTTAAGAAACACTACGGGAAGAAACTTCCAGAAGGGAAGGAACTTCCTGGAGTGAAGAAACTGCATTACTCATCTTTGTAAACCAAGCTCTGGAGATTCTAACAGCTGGTTAGTGATTTCAGCAAAAGACCACACCTAAACTTGGGGTGGGTGGGGGGATGCATGAGACTCCATTGTGGAGCAGTCCTCTCAACGTTTCACATATGTTGTCTAACTTAATCCTTTCGACCAATTTCAGGAATTGTCATCCCCTTTTCCAGATGAGTAAACTGAGGCTCAGATCCTTCAGTTAAATTATGACTTCTGTTTAGTTCCAAAGTTTGTGTTTTTTCCGTGGCTCTAAACTAGTCTATGCCTGAAATGGGGACTAAGGTTTGATTTTATCCCAGATACTGAGAATGAGGCTTAGATTTAGACTCAGAAATTCAAGAGCCATCATCCTTTTCACAATACTCTCTCTTTGCGTCTCCAGGACAAGACAGAATTCAGAACCTGGCCAGTAAGGGATGTCCTCAACTTATGCTTGCTTATTGATAGTCCCTGAGAGCAAATGGACTTGATCCATCTTGTCCAAGTCATCTGTGAAAACCTGAACAAATTTGCTTTAGACTAAACACAAAAATCAAAAACGAAAATGAATAAACTTATTTCAAGGCTTCTCAAATCCTCACAGTGTCTGTCTACATTTGTGAAATCATTTAAATATCTTGTAATGACTGTTTAAAAAGCAATGTGGGGGCCGGCCTGGTGGCGAAGCGGTTAAGTTCGCATGTTCTGCTTCTCAGCGGCCCGGGGTTCGCCGGTTCAGATCCCGGGTGTGGACATGGCACCGCTCATCAAGCCATGCTGTGGTAGACGTCCCACATATAAAGTAGAGGAAGATGGGCACGGATGCTAGCTCAGGGCCAGTCTTCCTCAGCAAAAACAGGAGAATTGGCAGCAGTTAGCTCAGGGCTAATCTTCCTAAAAAAAAAAAAGCAATGTGGAGGGGCTGGCTCGGGGGCATTGTGGTTGAGTTCCATGCTTGGCTTCGGAGGCCCAGGGTTCGCAGGTTCAGATCCCGGGAGCTGTGTGGACCTACACAGTGCTCATCAAGGCGTGATGTGGCAGCAAACCACATACAAAAAACAGAGGAAGACTGGCACAGACAGTAGCTTGGGGTCAATGTTCTTCACTCTCCCGCCTCAAAAAAAAGCACTGTGGATCATTTGAGAGTTGTTCCACTTCAGAACTACTCATAAGAACACGAATTGTGCCTGGCTATAATACAGAAACCCTCACATGTACTAAGTGGTAACGTTCAGCATGGAAGTCAAGGCTCTTAGTGGTCGGGCCTGCACTTATTCAGGCTCATCTTCCATTCTGTCCACTGCGCTCTCTTACCCTTCACTTTGTTTCTGTTGATGTTTTCCCAAAAAGTATGCATTCCTGGGTCTCCAAAGTGCCACAGTTTACTCAGCTTGTCCTCCTTCAGGTCTACCAAACTCTTATCTTTGATAAGAACCACTTCTATGAAGTCTTTCCTCCCTCCCCCATGTATTGAATACGCTACCCACTATGCTCTTCTTACATACCTCCATTAGAGGTATCTAAAGATCCAATCTCCTCCAACTGACAAAGCAATCTGAGGGCCCCATGAGGCCTTTTCACATTGTATCCTCAGGGCCTGGCATATAGTTCACATTCAGTAAACACTCATTAAGTGGAAGGGAAGCCTAGTCCTGAACATCTCCTGATATTATAATGCTAAGGACTGAGTCTCAGCCTGCAGGTAGTTGCCTTGTACAAGTTAAAACATTCTTCCTCATTCTTTTTTTTTTGGGGGGAAGATTAGCCCTGAGCTAACATCTGCTGGCAATCCTCCTCTTTTTGCTGAGGAAGATTGGCCCTGAGCGAACATCCATGCCCGTCTTCCTCTGTTTATTAGGACACCTGCCACAGCATGGCTTGACAAGTCGTGCCATGTCCGCACCCAAGATCCAAACTGGCAAACCCCAGGCTGCTGAAGCAGAACATGTGAACTTAACCACTGCGCCACCAGGCCGGCCCCTTCCTGATTCTGAAGCCATTCTAGCTTTCATCAATTTCCCACTTAACAATCTGGTAACTGGGAACATTTTATAAATCAAAATAGACAGATGCTGCAAACCCTCCTTTTACACCATCATTGTAAGCTTCCCTCTCAGTAAGCTTTCAACTATAGCTGTTAGGTACAAAAAAGACTGACGAAAATTTCTTTTACCTATCCTGCCTACTCCAGGATAAAGGAGCTTCGAAAAGAAAGAGTCCCTGACAACATAGTCTCTATAGTCTTCTAAACCTTTACGTTCTAGCTCTCTGAACAAGAAAACTCGCCTAGGTTTTCACACCATGCGGTCTAAGGTCATGTGCAGTGCAGCGGTGATTGCAGAAGCTTAATGGGTCATCGCACACATCCCTCAGTCTTTTTAGGGCCCTAGAAAGGCAACAAACTAAGAAAAGAACTGTTTAACAAGTCAGGCTTCTTTCTGTTTGGGAACCCCAGAGCCTGTTGATGAGAAATCTAGGACTGGCTGCAGATATTCTTTATTATTATTATTATCATTATTTAAAATGACTCATTCTATACCTTTGCTGTGTCTTTGTTTCCTTATCTGAGAAGCGTCGTGGCTCACCCCTGCCTAAACTATATTTGTACTAGGAAGGCCTGCATTCAGTCCTGCAAGCAGGGGGTGGCTCTGGTGGTCTTGAAGGCCCTGGAGGAGGGAGAAAGGCTGGGGGGGAATGATGAGAGTTTTTGTCTGAGAGTCGGGAGGCATGGTCAAGAACACAATTTAGTTATTGTTAGAGCTGACCTCT